CAAAAAGTAATGATAGGTCATGAGTGGTGCCACCCGCTGGCTGGCGCTTCTCCTTGTCGCGCGTGCACTTGTTGAAGGTGAGTAGATCAGGCGGCACCGTCGGACCCGTCTTCAACGGGGTTCGTGCCGACGTATATATGCAGCCGCGGAGCGTGACGTGTCTCCAGCGAGAGCAAGGGCCCACCGCGCGCGAGCAGGGTAAAGCCTAACGATCAACACGATTGAAAAAAAAATATGAATATTAATCAAAAATGGAAGGGTCAAGAGTGGCACCATCCTGAGATTGTCTCATAGGCTTTTCTCCTGAGTGGGTATATGCGTTCGAACATGCGTACGTAGATCAGACGGTGCTAGCGGACCCAGAGGACCATGAGCAAGCCGGCGTATATATCCTGTTGCAGAGCGTGGCGTGTCGCCAGCGAGAGCCAAAAGGCAAACGTGTGACGTGTGAGGCCGGGGGGGGGCACTCGACAAACATAGAGCGTCGCTGCCTCGGCCTGCACATACAACACAACTGCACACGCAGCAGCGGACACCGTTGGTTCCGCCCGCTGTCGGTTCGGAGAGTTTCCACGCACCACGGCAAGCACGTACCGTGGCGGACTACACGGCTGACGCACTGCACTACACCAGGAGCTCGAGGCGTGGCGGTCCGGCCTCCGCACGTCCACGTCGATCCCGCTGTGTCGGGTCGCCGCGCCCACCTGTTCTCCCCCGTGGGATATGTGGGAGCTTCCTAGGGACGACAATCTTTGCTGTCAGGGGGAAGCGGGTGGCGTCGAGCGGCGGCAGCTAGCCGCCAAGCAGGGGATGACCGTCTCCACCACGCGACGGCCGGCGGCGGCACGCTGCCCCCCCCCCCCCCCCAATGCCTTGGTCGAGGCGTTGCGGCTACCGCATGACAAATGACCACACCGGCCGGTCAGCAGTCCCGGGGGGTGCCAGCCGACCTGCTCCTGCTTGCCATCGTTGCCCCTAAAGGAGCTACACTGTGACAACGAAACCATTTAGTTTAACAGGCTAAAACTGTAAATTTTAATACTGGAAAATTAACTGTAATTATTGGTAAGATGAAAGATAGAAAACCACCACAAATACCATTATCACGCATGGCGCACTCAATTTATTTCTTTTTACTCTTTAGTGTGTTAGGTTCCTGCCTTCCGATGCAGCAAAATACCAGGTGAGAGGCATAGAAACGAAATATAAAAAGGGAGTTATTTAGCTGTTAATTCACAGTGTTGAATTTTACCCGTTGTTTTCTCTGGGCCCATCGCCAGTCATATATATTTCTCGCAGTCCGTCTGCATGCCGTTTTGTAAGCTCTGCGATTTACTGCAAAATTAATGACCGACAGTGGGTACGGCGGCGGGACGGCGGCAGCTGCTGCGACCCCGGCTCGGCTCCACAGCCCTCTGCCCGGCGGGCGCGGCGCGGTCTGGGCTTGGCGCGCCAACGGTAGAGTGGTTTATCTGTTGTTGTACCTGCGCAGCGCGCCCCGCTCTCTGCGCCCACCAGC